TATATACATTTTTTCTTTTTTTGCTAAAAGCTCATAATAGGTATGGCGCTAAAATTCTGAATGCAAAAATGGTTCTTTGTATTGTAAAGGTCTGAGCACTCCAAACTGCAGGAACTGCGGCTACAGGATCATTTTTTAAATCACAGTACTCCAAAGTTACAATTCTAAAGAGAACTTAATGATGTAAATAAATATGGGAAAAAATGTAGGTAAAGTTAGTAAAACTAAGACAGCCAAATTAATTCTCTTAATTCCTAATTAAAGATTAACCTGCAGGCACTGATTATCACCGTAAAAGGCAGAATGAAAGTCTATTAAAAATATATATACAGATTCCTTGATTAATTTATGTGTTGGTAAGGGGATTTTTTGTCTTAAAATTTTTATGAAAAACATAAAAAAAAAAAAACAATATTTTTAACAATATACAAAATAGCTAATCAATATGAAAGATTTAATACTTTTTTGTAAAATAAAAAAAACAACTCCATCTAAAGTTGTCAACATTGAAGATATGTCTTTTTTCATGTGCTAATATAGTTCGTCTGCATTACATCAGTGTGGGGAAAAAAGGGGGGACACATCTGTGAGGCGCACAGAGAAAGTATTTTTCTCCTTACAACAATTCTAACAACTACTTTGAAAGTTTTCCTAATAATAAGCAAAATAAAAAAATTCATTGTTAATTTCCATGTGAAAAACATATTTAATATAAGAGACAGAATGTTATGCACAGTATTGATATACCATTAAGCTATGATAAAGCAACACTAGAAACATTTAACCAAATTATTTGTTTTACTATTAGGTTTTAAATAGACTGTAAAGCATAACTGCAGTAATGCATATGAATGAGAAAAGGAAAAATGAATGAGAGGCATGTCTAGAAATTAGGTCTATTGTGACATATTCACAAGGATCAGTTGACCTCAGTGTTGATCAGACTAAATGGAAATGTGTCTTAAGTCTTAAGCAAATCATACATAATTTATAATTAAGAGCTGTATAGTTTATGACCACTTATTTTTATAAGACACTAAATTAACAAAAAGTGAAATCCAGTATATTTGCCAAGCAGATGGTGAGAAAAAGGAAGGAAGAAAGTTGTGTCATTGTTTTACATGACAGGATTCTTTTAAAAATTATTTTCGAAATAAAATCAAATGACTGGGTGATGAGAAGCTGTGGCAATATTTTGGTGACACAGTCAAACCCAGCATTATTTGCGCACTGTGCTGATTTGGATTTAGAATTACTTCCATTCAACCACAAGCATTGTATTGAAAGTAAGAGATGGGGATCTCAAAAAATATAATATATAGGAGCATTATTGTTGAATTAAAAACAAAAAATTCGGTTTTTAATACATATTTTGTTCAAATGGGGTATGTAAAAATTTCCTGAAGCTGTTATAACCCAAGTTCCATTTTATTTTTAGCTCCATTAACACATTCAGGGCAGGAAAATTACCTTAAACCTTAATCCTTTATATGACACTCAGTGAAACACTTTGAAAATCTACATTTCTAGCCAATAGTGTTATTGGAATCGAGGACAAGACCTTATTACCTTTGTAACATTTTGATGGCAGAAATGTCAATGTAATAACAAGAATAGGGCTGGGTAAAAAAAAAAAAAAAAACGATTTTGAATCGATTCCTTTACATTTTTGGAAAATCGATGTCTAGGGAATGAGATCGATTCATTTTATAGTGACCCGCGTGACGTTAATATTCAAATAAGCAGGAAAGATGCACTAAAGATTACATCAAGCCAGACAGCTGCAAAAATACCGAATAGGTTGACTGAAGACATTAACAAATGGGGGCTGACCAGCAAACACCCTGTAGTTGTTAAAGACAACGCTTCAAATATGGTTTGTGCGGTGGAGATAATGCAGCTCATGGATTTCTGCTGTGTCCCATCTGCTTGCTCTAGTGAAGCTTCACTTTTTCACAAATAAGTTTGCACTTTTGAGCCAGTTTTGTTCACATATCATGTTTAAACTGTCTGATTTACAAGTGTGCACTTTGTGTTTAATGTGACAGGAAAAAACAAAATACATGAGTATTTTAAAAAACTGTTGAACCACTTTCATTATTGTAAAAACAGATCGAATCGAAATTAATCGATTTAGAACCGTATGAATCAAAATCGATTCGATTCAGGACTTTGGCGAAAATACCCAACCCTAAACAAGAAACTCCAACTTGCCAGAATATATTAAGTAAAATAACAAAAGTGCTTCTATAAGAAATTCATGAAAAACACTCCGAGTGAAAGAAACACATTCTTTGGTCCAACATGACCTTAGAGGCATTAATGCTTATACTGGCAATTACATCTTTTTAGATTATAAACCTAAATATATTTGTTAACTATGCTTATTAACTTTTTAACTTTTCATTTAGCGTTTTACCTTTTTAGACTTAATTTACAGTAGGTAATCCAAGGGCTCATCTAATTGGTCAAATGCCAAAATAAGATATACAGCCATGTAGCAATATCTTTGCTGAATGGCTTGAAATAGATCTTGTGTTTCTAGACCTCAATGAGGGCCTGGGGGGGCTCCATTTGTAAGGGGAATGCAAGTGATCAAAAAGGGTAATATGTCCAATAAAGGGTTAATCTGTCCGAGGTATAAATGCATTTGGATTTTGACTTTTAACAGGCAAAGAAAAAAAACTGCTTTTGATAATAAAAAAGTTTAAAAAGTAATAAAAACTGAAACTAATATTCAATAAGTTCTGATGGGGTTATTATTCAGCCTAATAATGGAGACAGGGTTTTGCAGAACATCTTCAATGAATAAATTATATTTTTTTATCTGACAAATGAAGATGATTTACATTAACTGACATTCATTTCCTTAAAACAAAACCCAAAGAACATCAGTGGTGCAATAACTCAGTTTGTTGTGTGGGCGTTCTAACTCACTTTACTCAATTTACCAGGTAGTGTCTTCCTAAATGAATCAAGTTTTGACTTTGCATTTTTAAATACATCATTAATTACAACAGAAAAGGATTAGAGCCACAGAAAAAATAAAAATTCTGACTTTAATCTCAGAAATTTGGATCTTAATGTAGAGCCCTCAGCTTCACTGACAAAGATATGAGTTGTTCGGGAGGGCCAGTAACACATTGGTGGAAAATGACGAAATTAGGTGACTTTTTCCATGCCCGGGGGGTCCCTGGTGATGCTATTTCATTAATGGAAGAGCAGAAGGTGATTAAAACAAGAGAGCTAGTTTAGTCTCTAAAACACACATGGCTACAGCTTAATGCTAACATGTTTGTTAGTTGTCAGAATTCAGTCAGAATTCTGAGATTTAAGTTAGAATTCTGAGACTAAAGTCAGAATTCTGAGATTAAAATTAGAATTTTTAAATTAAAGTCAGAATTCCGAGATTAAAGTCAGAATACTGACTTTTTTTCTCATATTATACTGGAATAAAAGTTAAAAATCAGATAATTAAAAAAATAAAAATTCAGTGGCCCTAATGCTCTTCCATGCATTGTAAATTGTGATAACATTTGGTTTAGTTTGAACTAAAGGAGCCCAGCTGTGTCTGTCTGGCATTAACCAGTTCCCGGTTGCTTGTTCCAGGCCTGTCTGACAGCGTGCATGGGCGTCACCTGCTCCATATTAGTACATTTCCAGCCTTAAAAAAAACTGCCTCTGCTGCAATAAAGTTTTAACGGACTTTCTGCTTTTAAGAGTAAAAACAAAAACAAAACAAAACATCTCTCCACAAATGAGACGGTAAAGGTCCTAAAGTTAGTGATCCCTGTCCCTTTATAAAGCGCTCCTCTACCTGTTTTAGTAAAGTAGGAAGGGACCACAAGCTGACCCACCTTGTCTGACAGGCTCGAGAACATCTCAGTTCTTACAGACACCAAACTAATTGAGTGACTCTTTAACAACGCGGTGGTGCCTTAAAACATAAGTAAAGTCCGAAGCTGTCCAGGTTTAAAGGTGTAGAAAAGGCCTTACCTTTTCACCGCTCACTGCCCAAGGACTTCCCTCTTCATCGGGGAGTTACCTGAATCCCGCAGGTGTTTTTTCAGGAAGTCCAAATTAGAACGAGAAGCAGAAACGAGCAGAAACGTCACTAACCTAGCTGTTGCGTTTGTACTTGTATAAATATATATATGTAAGTATTACTGAATATATTCCCGCAATAGTTCTCTGTGGGAACAAATGTAATAGTCAGGAACTTTGAACAAGAGGTATCCGTAGTGAGACCTCCCTTCTGCCTGTCGGTGGAATCTTTGCTCTTCCTCATGGTCCTAATGCTGCTCATGTTAACGCCCTGAGCGAGCAAAATAAAAAATAAATAAATAAAATTAAAAAAATAAAATAAAATCCCCCCCAAAAAGAAAAACATAAACAAATTATCGCAATGTAACGGAAGAGAATTAGAGCCACCGGAAAAAAACAGATTTTTAACTATTATTTCAGTATAATATGGGAAAAAAGTCAGAATTCTGACTTTAATTTCAGAATTCTGACTTTTTTTTTTTCAGAATTCTGATTCAGTCTAAGAATTTTGGATCTTAACCCGAAGGGTCCCTGGTGATGCTGTTTCAGTAACGGAGGAGCAGAAGGTCATTAAAACAAGAAAGCTAGTTTAGTCCCTAAAACAGACATCACTACGGCTTGATGGTAACATGTTTGTTAGCTGTCAGAATTCTGAGATTAAAGTCAGAATTCTGAGATTAAAGTCAGAATTCTGAGGAAAAGAGTCAGAACTCTGAGATTAAAGTCAGAATTCTGACCCCTCTCTCATATTATACTGAAATAAAATGTAAAAATCAGTAAACTTTTTTCAGTGGCCCTAATCCTGCTCCGTACAATGTTAAACTTGGGCCAACACCTATTTTTTTCCTGAATATTATACTCTGAAGAGCTTTTCTACCACGGTGTTTCATTTGTAATTTTATATTCCTGCTTAATGGTTTTTATACAAATATGGTTCACCACCCAAAGCAGCAAGGTGTGACAATCATCTGCCATTCTTTTACTTGATCTGTTGTTTTATGTACCTGTCTCTTAATTTTATGTATTTCTGTTTAGTATGTAACTTTGCTGCCTCTTGCCAAGGGATGAAAACAAGGTTTTTAATCTCAATGGGATTTTTTTCCCCTGGTTAAATAAACTTTAATAAAATAGTAATGACTGCCCCCTCAAAAAGTCTGACACTTGTAAAAGCTGATATTTGACTTGTTTGGGTATTTAGACAGAAGGGACTGGACCCACAGGTTGTTTTGTAAGTTAAACAACAAAAGCAAACATTAAAGGGGTAAATTAAGGTTTTATTACTTAACATTCTGGCAAACATAAAGGCACTTGTACTGTGTTTAAGGTAGTTTTGGCAATATTTTATTATTTTTAGTTTTATTAAAGTTTTAATAACTGGTAATGAGCTGTAAATATCTTACCTTCTGTACATATACATTGATTTGATAGGGTAAACAATCAGAATTACACCATGTGACAACAACTCATATCCTTTAGATGTCATTCTGGGTGATGTAATAAAAATGATACAAGCTTTTAACCCACAACTTCTTTTTTTGATGAAGTCTCTGACATATAAATCTATAGCTGTAACTCTAGGTTAGAAGCAGTAACACTCCCCTTTTAAAGATGCATCACACAGCAAGGTTAGACAATTACTACAGTGACCCAAACAAGACTTTTCCAGAAACACAGGATAGAGGAACTACATTTCCCCCTGTAATGTAACCCAGAATGTTTTCCCATAATAATGATTCAAGACAGAACGATTCACTCTTTAAAAACAGCAGCTGTATTTGGAGAAAAAAAAAAAAGTGAATTTCTGTTATTTTTTTCTTTTGACTGACTGACGTTGGATCATTAAAATGTCTTTTTAAAGCTTCATAAAATGTAATATATTAGTTATCTCATTCTCTCATAATGTGTTTAATGACCAAATGAAAACGCTTAGGGTAAAAAAACAACAAAACAAGACAGTGTCCAGGAACTCCATGCAGGCTCAATCAGTGAAGTATTAGTTTTCCTCAACATTGTTGCACAGTGATGGGTAGATGTTGTTTCTTTAAACAAAGCTGCAGAAGGATGAGATTATGGTTATAATTCAGATCACATTTTATTATTTTAAGGAGAATAGGAATGTCTGCAAGTTAATGCAATACCATATCTTTATTGACCCCTCCCCTTTGTAAGTACACATTATCCTTCAGCAGTATTAAGCAACCCCTGAAGCTCAGTTCTGAATTAAGCTTCAATTCTCCAGCCTTTTGAATATAACAAATAAAGCTAATGGATAATGCTCTCCCTTATAAAACCCAACACATATGAAAGTGACGAAATTTTCATCTGTCACACAGAGTACATGTCACAAATATGTATATTTGTTAAACTCCATGAGATGGGCTGTGCCTTTACGGTCTGTCACGCAAAGGATTATGGGAAACCGGATGGCTCCTAGCGACAATTATGGACGTCAGGAGGTCCCCATGCTAAGTGTATTGCCACATTACAGTAGTAACTAGACTGCTTCCTTGTCCTAGCTCCTTCCTAACTGCCAGCACTATTCAGATAGCACTCATTATGGCGACCACATCCGCACTTCCGCTGTGTCCTTACCAGACATGGGCAATGTGGAGTCAACAAGTCATCTCCATGTCATGTATTGGTTCTACCCAGCAAATTAACCAGGTGTGTGCAATCTGCACAGGTTAATTCACCTGCTTCAGTGGCTGGGTAGAACCAATACATGACATGGAGATGACTTGTTGACTCCACATTGCCCATGTCTGGTCCTTACTGATTTGAGGTTTTGTGATCAAACAAAGATATGATGGAAACCTCATTTAAACAGCCACAGCAAAGACTGTCGGTCACATAACTGGTTGAGGCCATTTACAGGTGATTTGCCAATAGCTTTTTGTGAAGCTTTACCAAGTTATTTTCAGATTGATACCAAGGGATCGCGATTTAAAGTAATACTGTAAAAGTGAGACACAAGAAGAACCACAGCTGAAAAAGCTGCATCTGCCCCAAATAAACGTCCTAGTTGTCCCACTTGTGTTTTTCTGAGATCTTGTCACCCTATGCAGAGGGCTAAAGGATGTTCGGATTTTGCGCAGTCCAAACAAAGTCTGTATCTTCTGATAGCTACTTTCTGAAGGAAGATCAAACATCCAGTGGTGGTCCACTAAGCATGCATTCCAATCGCTTCCACAGTCACTGGGTTTAAATTCAATAGTGCAATTTTGGAATGTCATTTAATTGGAGATTAAAATCAAAGATGTCCAGCTGACAAAACAGCAACTGTTGTGCTTTGCTATCATGTTGACATGGACCTAAATCCCAGGGAATGTTTCTGATACATAGAAATAAGCTATTTCAGAATAGAAAAAGAAGGTCCAATCCGAAGTATAACTAATAAAGGGGTTAGTGGAAACCCTCTCTGGAGGCAGAATCAGATTTTATGAGTGGTTTTTAACAATTAATGACTTTCTTTCACATGTTATAGACAGAGGAAAAGCTGAAAAATCTGGGTAAGACATTTGCAAACAATTTCTAGATAAAGTTTCTCCATATATATTGGAAAATATAGCATCTGTAAAGCCTTATCTCTAAGAAACCTTAATTACAAAGAGGCTTTTATGTGTACTTCTAATTTCTAACAATCCATCCATAGTCTATGCCCCGATGTTTTATTATTTTACCCTTTAACAAAGAATAAGCATGTTTAAATGATTTTTTTTTTTTTTTTTTTTTTTCTGGTTTTTCTTTTTTCATTTTTATCTCTTTTTCTTTTAAAAATAAAAATAAAAACAGTGGCATGTTTAAACTGTCTAAGTAATAACTCAACCATATAGGTTGTTGTGAACATATGGAAATATAGAATCCTTTTGGAAAGGACTGCTAAAATTCATAATTCATGTTAAAACACTTCCTTTATTTTCTCTGAACAGGCTTGAACAAGTCCAATCTTCCCGCTTTAACAGTTGCTTTGTGACTGTAGACGACGCCCAGAATCTGGCAGCCAAACCCGTTTTGTCCAACTTGAAGGGGATTGAACATACACAAAATACCTCTGAGGGCTGCAAACAGCTCTTTTTTTTTCTTAGAGATTGCAGTATGTAAAATTGCCACTACCAAAACAGCAGAGTTGCCTTTATTAACCATGTAAACAACATTCAGGTTTATACATAAAAATTTGTTTAAACCAACAATGAACAATAAAATTACAGAGAAAATTGTATTACAATTAACATTTGTGCAGAGCATAGTAATTAAATTGGAAGAACTGGATGAGAGCAATAAGAAGATGGTTGTTGATTAAAACTCTAATGGACAGGAAAATCAAATAATATTGTATAATATTTTCTTACAAATGAGGAAAGTGCTGGAACTCATTGAATGCGGCACACTTGATCCCAATACACATGCACTATTAATAAAAACAGGAGTGCATTAGAAGAGGTACTGCTTTGCAGAGATGTTACTGGACTTGATCTCAAACAAATTAAACTTTAATTTCATATCTTTAAATTCATGTGATAAGTCTTTGCCATTCTGCCAATGTTAAAGTGAAATTTAAAGGTGCATAGCCATGTCATATGCAAAAAAACAAAACAAAAACCATTTTGATTATGATAAAAATAAGTTAATATACAACACACATCCATCCTGATAGTGTTAAATAGTCCATTATATCCTTGCTCACCAACTGTGCACATGTGACATTTGGCTCCTCTGGTCAAGTGATGTTGCTGTTGTAAATATATACACAGAAGGGCTTTATGTACTCACAAACTTAGCAAAAACAAAGCAAAACAAATATAGAAAAAACAATATCACAGCAGAATGTTGTAATTTTTCGTAAAAACTTTGTATGCAACCAGAGTGAGCGACTGGTGTATACGTTTGAAAAGCTAGAGTATATAACAAGTCTAGGCCTTTTTAAAATGTATCAATGCGAAAGACCGCTTGAAAGAGACTGGATGAACCTCTGCAAGGTTTGAAATAAAAAAAAAAATAAGTAAGGAATGAGTTCCTGTGTAATTGTGGTTCTTTATTAGCTTTTTTATATCATTGTGTTTTTTGCACCATTTACAGTAGGTTTGCCTAACTCCCCTTCTTTTAAAATTTGACTGTAAAAATTCCAGTTTTAAAATTCTTTCTAGCCTCTGGTTGCTGATAAAGTTTGAATCACCCGCTCATGACTTAAAAGTGAGTTTCATCATTGATCTACAAGTATAAAGATGCAGAGATGTAGAAAATAAAAAGGGACTTTTCAACAGCAGAACATGGTGTATAACTTGATTTAGCCCAAAATGTATTCTTTCTTTCTAGAGTTGGACCAATACAGTTTTTTAGGCCGATGCAGTTATCGATTTTTTTTCCATATTTATTTCAGTTTAACTGATCCCCTTATATGCCCTGCAGATTTCTTTCGGACCCATTCTATAGGAGGATATTGCTTTCTCTACCTTCATTTGCATGAAAAAAATAACAATGAAACAAAAGTCCCAATTTAACAAAAAAATAAAAAATAAAATAAAAATTAGTTTAAAAAAATAATAATTACAATTAAAAAAAGATAAGAAATTAAGGAAGTGGCAATGCTTGCACCATATGTGCTCTCAAGGCATGGCTGCTGAGTTCACTCCTAACTCAGCAAATACATGCATGTATTGCTCAATAGCGATACAAGAAAAAAAACGCTAATATTGACCAAAAATATTGGCTGGATAGTGTACCAGTCTATCTCTATTTATTTCTAGAAAATATAAGGTTATGCTTGAGGCCTCATTGTTTTGTTGTAATGCTTATGCATTTAAACAAAGTAATTTTAAATTAAGATTGTTTTACTAAATGTTGCAGTGTTAAAGTAACACTTTAAGAGTACATTTAGTCCCACTCTGACTTAGTGTGGGTTCGAATGTACTCTTAAAGTGCTACTTTAACACTGAAACATTTACTGTGTAGTTTAATTTGGTGTGTACTGATGCTCCATGTGGGCTGTTCTTTTCAAAAATGTATCTAACTTTATATAGTCGGATCTATCACTGAATAAATCTTGCGACCCAGAGCCGTCTTTTATGACAGTCTGAGCTCCCCCTAAACGAGAGAACTGCCCTAAAAAGCTGTTGTTAGACAATAAAGTGAAAATGAAACTTACCTGCTCAGACATATTTTTGGTTCCTTGATGCAGGATCTAATTTAGAGAGGTCTTGTCTTTACAAGTAACTCAATGATTTCTTGAACTACTGGTTTAAAAGGTGCTGAGATTCCAAAACAGGAAGCTAATTAAATAAGCAGCCGTGGAATGTTGGCAGTTGCTTCAAAGGGTGCCAAACACTTCAATTCCTCTAAGATGTTAGTCCTCACCCCTATAGAGGAAGGTGTTTTGAACCCCTAAACTCAGTTAAAAACCTGTCAGTCTGACCTGGATTCATGCTAAAGTGACCAGTTTATCCACATTAATCTGATTGGTTTGAGGAATAGGAAGCCAGGCTGGCAACGCCAACAAAATCATTTTTTGGATACCTTCTCAAATGCACTACAGAGACCAAAGTTAGAGGATAAATCATTAAATCAAAATCTGTCAGGTTTCCTAATATGATGAAACTGGCAGAGAGAATGTGGCTGGTTTTTCAGGGGTACAGCCTACATACTCAACTCCACTGCTCTATCTACAAGTGATTTTTTTTCTTGGAAATGTGGCACCATATAAAGGGAAATAGACTTTCCAGGAGTATAAGGATTCTTGTCAAAATATATGGTTACAACAAAGCAATAATTGACCAAATTTCTATCTCTCAACTGAAAATACATATTATGTAGTAACATGTATATGTTTTTTTTTAAACCAAGAGGCACACCTCAGCTCACATAAAGAAGTAGAAATAAGCATTAAATACATTATTAGACTTTATGTAAGGCATCAAAGGGGTACCGTGTGCAGTTCTTAGTTTAACTATAGCCATCTTTTTGCCACCTGTTCTTTTTTACATTAAGGACATATAAACCTAATTAAAACATCTTCATTATTTTTACAACAGCTACATTGGGTCTTCAGAAGTTTCCACGTTGGTGATGATAACAAAAGTAGATCTGACCTATTACATCATGTTTTATACACCTTTAAAAGACATTGACAAGTGCTTGTCATTCTCAACAGTAAACAGCTACAGTGTAAACAGAGGTGAAGATCTTGATGATTCCTTCAAACGTTGGTGATTTCAACACTCTTGAAGGTGTGCATCGGGCTGCCTTTGGCACGGGGAACAGCATGCACTCTGGCCTCTCTGGGCAAAGAGCCACAGTTGCTGTGGAAGCCCAGAGCTCGCTCCACGGAATGACTGTCTGCACGTAACCTTAGTGGACTCTAGGAGAAAAAGGACACACAATGAAACCGTTGCCTTTGGTTTCTCTGGACTCAACAGTCTACCAGCTTCCTCCCTGCATTTGGATTATTCGCTACTATTTAACTAATGCTGTCTAATAGTCTGTTGATGTAGAAGCTCAACAAAGCAGCAGAGGTGGTGGAGGTAATCAACCCGCTTTAGATGGACAAGGGTTTGAATGATTTAGACATTATATTAAAATGTTATCCTAATGGTAAAAGTTAGTGAAGGGGTTAAATAGTGTATGTCTTATTCACCGTGGCATATTTCTGTACTAAACATGACTTGAAAATACTGTTTATGCATCCTTCTTTTTTTTGTGCTATTTTTATTGCCATGGCTGTTCATTGACATAGCATTATGTCGTTCTCATTCACCAGCATATCAGCAGTCAAGCAATATGTTTTTATTTCCAATGTTACACATTGATGAATGATTTTTCCACTTTCAGGGTGGGTTTTAAATCTTAACTTCAGAGGAGAGCAACACAAAGAAAGGGCATGAAGGGGGTAAAAAATAAAATTATATACACTTATTTAATCTTACAGAAAAATCAACTAGATATTTTTTAATGAGAATGGAAAAGATGACTTTACAGAAGAGGAAGGGAGCCGCTTACAGCTCAACATTAAATAAAAGATGGTCGTTCTGATGTTACAAATTTAATCCATCTTTCCCATCTTTTAAAAAACACAGACTGCTGTAGCCATAAAATATGATAATATATCTATCCACAAATCCGTATCTCTTTCTCATTTATTTATTAGTTTAGATATTCTAAGGCTGAGATAAGGGTTGAAGAATAAAAAAGTGTGTTGTGCTGACTACACTCTCATGTAGATCAGAGGGATATTTTACTATTGCTAAAATAAAGAACTTGCCCTAAATCTGCAAATGTAAGATATTGAGGGGTGATCAGATAATCTCAGATTAGATTCATCAGGTTAAGATGAATTTTAATGGCAGCTACCTACAGTATGTTATTTACTATACTTTTACAAGACATTATTTGAAAAATGATGCTGTTGTAAATCTGCTATGTGCTTTCATTATTTCCATGTTTCATTAGCTTTTTGAAATATTTATGCTTTAACAAGCGGAAGGGGACCAATAACAAACTTTGGACTTCAGACCTTGTGTGCTAGTCTTTAACTGATAGGTGAGAAATGGGTTAGGCATACCTTTCCTAATCTTCTGATAGACATCCTTTCATCAGCAAAGCGATTAACAGCCACAGGTGAAGAAGAACTGATAACCCCAGTGCTCTGCTCTGCATTTCTGTAAACACAATTTCTTTAATTAGTAGTAAAGGGAGACATTCAAGTGTTTTCAATAGATTTGGTTTTTAATGCTACCTTAGAGGTGCAGAGAGAGACTTCATTTCTTCATACAGGTGTCTGTGCAGCATGTGTTTATTGCTGGGGATTCCCAAAGCTTTGGCCAAGGCTTCTGTGTCAAAGGATTGGTCCAGTGTGATAACTGCACCATGAATGCCTTTTCCCTGAAGGTTTTCTGCAAACTCCTACAGAGCAAAATGAGGAAGCAGAATATGAGTCACATGACGGAGTCAGTAATGTGTACAATCATTAATCACAATCATTCCCAAAACTGAAACCAGGAAAATAAGCTTTAAAAAGAAATTTCCTCCTAAGTTTTTTTTTTCCTCTACTGTTGGCCCTACAATACAATGCAATGTTTTACGTTTCCTTTTTAAATAAAGTTAGACATAAAATATAAAAATAATAAAATACATCTTGGAGTGGTTTGCTTCTGGTTCTCTTTTTTTCTTCTCCTTTATATTTCGTTGTTGGCTACCATTATAATCTTTTCTCCTGTCTTTTTATTTTTTTATTTTTTACTTTTTCTATTATGTTTTTAGTTGAAACTGTCCTATATCAAAACTACCGGTAAGCTGGCATCTTGACCAGAATGCACTGGAATAAAGCAGTAATCCATTGGGAACAGTAAATCAAAGCTTTATCATTAATGTAACATTATTGGCATTCTGAACGTGGCAACAAAAAAACAAAACAAAACAAACAGAATGTAAAAAATCTAGGCTGCACATCAGAAAAACTGCAGCACTACTGCTGATAACTACCATTAGGATTAAACCAATTTTCCCCAATGTTTTTGAAATTCATCATAATGTCTCAATCACTCTTTTCTCAGCTTTAGCATCTCAGCCACTGAACATGGAAACTTTTGCAGGTATTGAGGGCAACAAAAGTTTAAACAAGGTTGAAGAAATTGTGAAGAAATTGAATCCATGCAAACTAGATTAAGATATTCTCCAAGTATCACATCTACCTTAAGGTCGATGTCCTTGATCCACTTCATCACTCTGTTACACGTCCAGACAAGAGGGTCTTGGTTTTCATGCTCGCATTTTAAGCGACGTAATTGCAGGGCCTTAGGAATGGTGATCAAACAGCAGGGTAAGAAGCACAGCCATGGTATGAAAATAATGGGAATTTTTAGTCAAACACACTTTATTTCTTTTGCATATGATAGAATTAGGTCATGTACGTTAATGCTCTTTTGAAATGTTGGTGGGGGTTTTGTAGTTATGTGATACTTTCAACAAACAAAAAATGCTAGTTTAAGTTTAAAACTATAGCCTGTTTTTTATAAGTCTATTTTCTACACCACATCTGTCCTAACAATTTCATATTTGATTAATTAGGTTTTGCCTTTGTGTGACAGCCAGGTGTAATGTCAATTAAGCTTTGGTATTATTTTACACCAAAAGTCAGCCATTGTGACACATTATGATCAGACCTCTTTGTCAAAGCTGAGCATCTGCAGGAGCTGGATTCCTAGTAGGAGACTCGTTTGGTGGAAAGGCTCGCTAATGTTCAGGAATCTCTCCAGATCTCTGCGGCTCAGGGAGTTCAGCACCCGTCCGTCCACTAGGTTTGTGTGGAAGGTTTGGAAGTACTGAGGTAGGCCTACGTCACTTAGCCATGATGTGGAGACCCAGTGATGATCCAGCTCAGATGCTTTTGATAGTCTGAAAGAGGACAAGACTTACTGTAGTTTAGCGAATACTGTCTTTAATCCACTTTATGCAAATATCAAAAACCCAGCATGGGGAGAGTTGTAATACCATTAGTTCTAACAGCAGGGAACAGAAAACAAGTTCTATGATTCTATCATTATTTAGCCACCCCTCCCTTTGGATTACATGGTGAATGCAAAGCCTGAAAGCCAGAGTGTTCCAATTTTATTGCGAAAAAAAAAAGGGTTAAAAAGTGTTTAACAAATGTACAGTTGTTTTCTTACTAATACAATAGCAGCTATACTCAAATTCCAGTTAAAAATATAGGTTCTCAAGCAAATATCTGTGGATATATCCTGAACTAATTTCTGAGCTGCAAATGTATTAAAATTTGGTAAAAACTTTTTTTAATCTTAACCCTAACTATTACCAACACATGCCTAACCCTAACCTGAACTAAAACCTTAGTCCTAAATTTAACTCCGGCACAAATAAGAGAACGTTACCTATATGTGTAAACAGACGGAGAACAATTGTAGACTCTAAATCTCAGACAAAAAGAGTGACAGACCCTGTTCTCGGTTTTTCTATTTAATGCTATCCCTATTTTTCCTGTTTTTGTCTTATTGTGTGAACTCACTCCTCATTGCTTCACAACCTGACCCAGTAATGGGGTAGGTAACAGGAGGACTGTTTCTTTGCCATAAACTCATCAAGTGAGATACTTGGTTTTATTTGTAGTAAATACATGGTGGTATAATAAAAGTTTAAGAAGTGTAGCTGAAAATCAGGGAGTTAGAAACACTGAATCAAAAGGTGTCACAACCATCCCTGGTCTCCCCATCTAAAAGACCACAAAACAAGGTCAAACCAAATTTCATAAAACAAGTCATAATTAATAATGTCATACTGTTGGTAACGGCATCTGTGGGCCGTCATGCAAAAGTTATACCTTTGTAATACTTTTGCATGTTTTTTTGTTGTTTATTAATTAAGTCTAGCAATCAACAACTTCCAATAACCTCCACTTTCCTGTCTGGTCAGTTCAAGTCTCTATGGTAGATGTGGTTCATTGCAAATTTGCTATCCAGGAGCACCTTCCAGATGTCCAGTGCAATGCTGAGGTAATATTTAGCATCTTTGGTTGGGGCAGCATGTGGACAATATATACCACTGTTTCTTCTTGCTTTCCAAATCACTTCTCTTGCTGAGCAGGGATTCAGTCAGTCCAAAAAAAAAAGTGTTCTTTGGTGTATACTTTATGACATATAGATTACAGAGAAATTAAAATTTGTTATGGGGTAAAAATTTAAACTTCTGATTGGAAACTGTCTGATAGTATAACTATTAAATATATTTCTTCAGATGGGTATTATTTGCTTTCCCAAGACAGAATGTCCTACTTACCCCTGCTCCCCTTCTGCTCTCCTGTAATCCTCAATAGCCAGTCGAACTTTTCTGCGATGAAGTTGATTAGTAATACCCAGACCCAGCTCTAAATCTTCATCCGTCAGACTCAGCAGCACCTAAACAACAGAAGATCCAGTCTTACAGAAGTGACAACAGCATCCATGTTAACCTATGTGCTACACTGCACACATCCAGATAAACAGAAAAGCTTGTAAAACCGAAGAAAAATCATACCTTGCCACTTTTGACATTTTCGGAGCAGGCTCGAATATACATGGGCATTCCCATGACAACCTCCATCCAGGCCTGCACGGCCCCTGCCCTCCACAGGGACATGCAGGTGGTCCGAGTGAGCTCTGCCTGCTGGAGGCGGTCCAGCTGCTCCTCTCCGTCAGACATGCTGTGCTGTGTGTCAGAGTCTGGGTTGGTCAGGAGAAGTTAGGCGGTGGCATACAGGAGAGGTTGGGGATCAGAGGGATATGGAAATAAAAGAGTGACTTATCTGAAAAAGGCATAAAACATCTTCTAAATATGTCAGAAAATGAAGAAAAATAAAAATTAAAAACATCAACATCAAGAAACAACTGAAGGTTTTAATGAGATTTGTTTTCAACGGCAACTATTTTTTCTATGAACAGATGCATCTCAGTAAATTAGGTTGTTGGAAATGTATTTAAATAATTCATTCAGTGAATGAAGCTCACATATTCTTCTGACTCATTATTTATAGAATGATATATAATAACTTTTTATGTTAGTAATTTAATGATTGTGGCTTTGAGATAACTCTGACTTAAGGAAATAAAAATAAAAAAAACAATAAAAAAAAGCATACCATACACCTGAAAAGTTTGTCCATTTATTGTACAGTTTAAGCATCAATGCTTTGTTTGGGCTTGTAAAAGATAGGCTCTGTGTATGCACCTTGAAGCTCTGTCTCTCCAGATCTTTGTCCTGAAAAGAGATCACTCGGGACAAACTCTTTAAATAACACTTCATAACTTATATGTGTTAAAATACCAGGAGACATGACCACAGATTCTGATAGAAATTGTAATCTTACTCAGATTAGATAAGTTGCTTAGAATTTACAGAAGGCAGCAGCTCACCTCCAGGCTCACCTGTCAGGATGTGGCCACGATTAACAGTTAAAAAAGCCTTTTATACATCTCTAGTTTGCCACATCATCACATCATTACATCAGACACATTAGTAGATGAGTGGACATCATGGCTCCAGCCTTATCAAAATATTACACATTGTTCTTAGCTGAAGGACACCGCTCTCATTCCATTTCCAAATCTTTACCACGTACAGAATAAAGATTATAACAGTATATCCAGACAGAGAAACAGTCTTAATTAGATAAACTATTGTAGAAAATATCAGTTCTGACATGCAACAGGCAGCTAATATTAAGGTGTAATGAACTCACACATCATCAATGATAATTATCCTAACAGGCTCCTTTTGAATGAATAATTGCATCATTACAGGTTGGCACCGAGGCGATCAGCCTGTGGCACTGCTGGGGTGTTAAGCCACACCCAGGCTACCTTTATGAATAGCTTTCAATGTGCCTGAGATGATGGTTCTGGAGTCTTTCAACTTTCTTTTGACAAAACTCCACTGATCCTCTGTCAGCCCAGTTTGAAGGCAAGTCAGGCAAAGTGATGCTATGATGTAAGAAAACTTTTATCAGCCAATATGTCCTGCAAAGTCAAACCTGCATCTTCATAAAGCTTTTCAGTAAAGACAAGCATGAAGTGCTCTGGACTGTCCGGCAGAAAGAACACGTCTATAGCGGCAGGTTAAACAGCCCAAAACTCCAATGACTGAAAAAAATCACACTTCAGTTCAAACAACATAGATTCTGAGTCTCCCAACTCTTCCTCTAAGTGGTGAACTCTTGATTATTTCAATAAGCTCAAACATCACCAACATAATGAGTCTGACCTTTTTTACTCCATTTTTTAGTGGCACTGGAAGGATTCAAGCTGCAGACCAAACCTTGTGAATCTTACCCATTAGATTTGCCTAATAACGCCGTCCAATGGTTGGCAATTTTACTTGTGCGGCTTTTTCTGCCACATTTTTTTCCCTTCAGCTCAACTTTCTTTTTAATTTCACTTGGTAACAGCATTTTAAACATTAGCACATGACCTTTAGCGGCTTATCCTCCTGGACAGTTGTAATATCAAGTCTTTCACACGGCTGGATAAGCCATTATATCACATTTCTGCACTAAATTCCTTTCTGTCATTTTAACCTTTTAAGCAAAATAAATTTTATTTTCAAATTAAATAATTAGAAGTGTAGTAGAAGTATAAATCAACTTTAAGAATACTAATTTAGTGAGATGCACCTGTAATTGTAACTCAAGAACTTTTTTTTTGAATAGAAAAATTACACCACCAATCCACCAGGTGGTGCCAAAATATTTCCCTTCACATAAATGTTCTCTGTTATATCTGAATAAAATGTTCAATATTCATTTGATATAGGACAAAATTATCTCTGAATATGTCAGAATACAGCTAGACAAGTCAAGTTTGTGGTTAAACTCACTACTGATGCTAGTGAAGGTATTACTAAGTATATCTGATGGATATGAAGAATTACTGCCATTAAGAAAATGTAATACAGACACAGGGATCATTCATAAAATCTCATGTTTCTGCCATTTATGAAAGACTTAAAACACTGACTTGAACCAACGAATCCTGCTTGATTCGTCTCCTCATGCTGACACAAGGGGCTGCATGCAAATCCAAATGTCACTCTGAAGTTTCTGTTTTTTTCTGTCTTTTCTCCTCAAAGAACAGCAACACATACTTGCATTTTTTTTTTCTTGAATGGACATGAGCGATATGAATAATCCCCAAAGTGCAGAAACAGACAGCTGGTAATCACAGATGAGGAGTTACTCACTGGTTTAGGAGAGAGTTGCCATTAGGGAATGGCAGGAGGAGGAGACAAACACGTTAGACTGAGACACAGGAACAGGATTACTCATGGAACAGAAAAACTACCACAAAGTGTTCACTTTCCGCTTTTATTTTTAAAATAGTTTTTTTTTTTCATTTCAGTTATAATTCACTTGGAAACCTCCTCAACATCTGACTGCAACATCTGCAGCACATAAATATCAGGAATCACCTCTCTGCTTATCTCATTTTGTTAAATAAAATACTTCAATAAATTTCATCTTTTGTGTATGTATTATTACCCTAATTTACAAAGCATTTAAACAGAGATTTATTAGAGCCATCTTTGCAGGAAATGAGGAGGGAGTGAACAAAACGCAATAAAAAAAACAAAAAAAAAACAGAAATAGGAATATTCTCAATAAGGCAGGGGGAAGGCAGGCATTCGTAATGCAAGGTTTGGTAGAAACAACGGGAAAAATAACACAAGAAGGATGCTTTTATGATACTTAATTTGACAGGAAATGAATGAATATTTAATCAAAGCAACACAGAGGGACCATGCATGTATTTAAAGCACATTCCATTGTCTCTGATTGGCACACGTTAGATAGCACTCAGCTGGAAATGAGTGACGTTAACAGTGTTACATGGCTGTTACTAACAGCAACCAAATGATGAAGCTTGAAGTATGGGTTATATGTCTTTGGCACTTGCACATGGTTTGGAAAAAGCTACATTTTTAGTTGGTGTGTTTAAATCAGTGCAGCTGTGCTCTTCATAAAAAGGCTGTTGGTCAGCCAGTACTTCTCTTCATGTTTAGGGATGTCTGGATCTGATCTCCAAGTATCGTCTCCTGATCGTTTTGATTGATCAATATGTGGGTAGCTGCTCTCCTTCCATCTGATCACCATATTTTCTATGGTTTAAGGTCAGCTGCACAGGCTGACTAATGTTACAATACCCTCAAATTTAAAATAGAACATAATCTATTTTCACATTTTTGGGAGAAAAAACATGAACTTAAAGAACTAAAAACTTTCTGTGGAGGAATGCTTAGTTTTTAGTCTGCCATTTCTATGTAACAGAATAAAGTCTCTAACTATTCAAAAATAGGTTTTTCACACTGCAGTTTGAGTTGTTCTGCTAAGAGTTTATTTTTTCTGCTTTGATGTTTAAGATTTTCCTGAAAAACATATTTAAAATCTAAAAACTTTGGGAAGATTTTATCACACAAAAACATACTTTTCTCAGATATGTATTAGATGACTCCAAAGATATAGCTGACATAACAGACAGTTCTTAAAGCTCAGCACCAGGATATTGAGGCTACTAAAATGAGGACAATTGATCATTTCTGTTGAGCTAATGAGACATAAATAATTTACACGGCATGGATTTTCATAGCTTTACTTAACCCGAGGATGATGAATTTATAACGTGTGCTGTAAGAAATGAAGGTATTAGATTGAAACCCACAATTGGTGAATATTGAATCTGAAATTACTTGGATCTGGATGAGTCACAAGCAAATCTTAATCGGGACATCCCTAAACATTTTCAAAATAAAATACAGGATGTTTTTACAGTGTGATATGCAACGAACGTTCGTGACGGAAGTCCTGTAACAGATCAACATAAACTCCATAAGCAGCACAGATAATCAATAAACTCCAATCAGTGTTTTTTTTTTTTTTTTAGGTCAACTTGGCAATGCTTCCTGGTGTGTTGCAAGAAAAGGAATAAAAAACTCACAATAAAAAAGAGACCAATCCTGCAAATCATGCTGAAAGCAACTATAGAGTAACAAAACCCAGATAACATTAACATTTAAACACTATTTTCACATTAGATCCTATATGTACATATAAACAGCAGTCCTTCAAGTGTCTATTTATAAAAAAAATTAAACAATAAGACATTTAAAGGATAATACAGCATGAACATGTCTACACATTGTAATAACCCAGTATATGTATTTATGTGCATGTAAACATATATACATATGCATACATGTACATCTATAAATATATATATATATTTAATTTACAAACATACATTTTTGTTGAGCAGGATACTGTACATTTATGGGGACAGCAGTCTCTTGGTTTTCATTACAATCCATCCATCTCCTTCTTCCAGACACATCCCAAAACACACAAATTTGATGCATGGAGATATATTCATGCACTCGCACACACACACGCTCATTCAGCTTCACCAGTCGGCATCCTCCTCTATGTAATAATCAGGGGTGGTTGTACCATCAAACAAGCCGGGGTCCATGGACTTGCGCTGTTTGCCTCGAGTGAACACCCGTGACAGAGATCCCAGAGTCATCTTGTCCTTCTTCTTCTTACGTTTCTGGTCTTCTAGATCTTCCATTGACTGAGTGGGCAGAGGAGATTAAAAAACAGAGTTGAGACAGGTTAAACTCACAGAGATGCGCCTTTTTTTAACTACTCACTGGGGTTTGATACAAATATTTACCCTTTTGTGTCTGTAAATAGAGAAGACTGTTAATAGACCCGTTCTTGGTCCTATTATGCATGCATGTTGTTTAATGGTGTCTTCCTGCTTTCATTTCGATCCACATTTATGATAAAGTTTCTGTTAAAAA